CGTTTATAGAAAGAGCCCCCTGATTGATTCTTGCTGGGTCTTCTTACAGCCATCAACATGGAAGCATACATGTACAAAGCAGACATCAGAACATACGATCACCAAAAGCCACACGTGAAAATAACCACAGGGAAGTCGGTCACAAGAACCCCTGATGCCTGCCAGTAGAGGACACAATCAGTCAATCGTGTATCTTCACATTGTGGAATACCACCCAGCCAGGAGAAGGAGCAATCTACAATCGCATACAAGAATAGGGATAAGATTCACAGCTGCAGTGTGGCTCATAAGTCAGGCACAAAAATCCACACTCCACTCCATTCATAAGAAAACCTATGCCAGTCTGTACTGTCCTGCTGGAAGGCAAGATAGTAAACATCCCCCTGAGGGGAAACCAGTAGTGGGAAGAGGCAGGAAGGAGATCCTTGGGGTGCTGGGCTGGAAAACATTTCTCTTCCCTCCGCCCCACCCCCAGTGGCGATCAGTCCCAGGACCTTCTATATCTAGGCAAGTCCTCTATGACCAAGCTCTACCTCCTCCTGCCCTTTCTTTGAGATAGGGTCTCACTATTATATAGCCCAGTCTGTCCCTTCACTCACAGTCCTCCTGCCTCAGGCCTCTGAACAGTTGGGATCATAGGCCTACCAGAGACTCTGTTTCTTAACTCCATGTGTGGAGCACAGAGACAAAGTGTCTCAGTTACTAGGGAGCCTGCACACACTTCTGTGAAACACTCTAAGTGAACCATGGAGTGGGTTGGGCCTCATAAGCCACCATGTTTATGAGACAGGGGTCACTCTGCCACCTCACCCTGCCTCCACACTCTCTCTGTGCCCTGCTCCTACCCAGCCTCAGCCTCACTCTGCCCTCTCTGTCATCATCTCCTTCCCAGAAGAACTGCTCATCTACCCAGGATCCTGGCTTGGCCTCTATTCCTTTCACAGTATAACCATGGCCCAGAGAAGGGCCTCGTGGCGAGTCAAAGCAGCTACAGAAAGTCTCTAAACATCTCTAGAAAGTCCCCACCCCACCCCCATCCCAGCACCTTTGAGCAGGGTACTCCTTCCCCTAGACCTTTTCTCTTCCCTACCTCTGCCCCAGCCCCCTATCCTATGGAAGCACCACTTCCTCCCTCTGCCTGTCACTCTGCTGTCATCACATGACAGGCTGACCCCACCCCTGCTGCCTCCCCCAGCCCCTCCCACCTCCATCCAGCACTATGGTCAGAAAAGTCCTCATCTGCAATCCTCTCCATCTCTCCCACCGAATGGATAGTCCCCTAGGGCAAGAGCAAGTGCTGTCTGTCTGATTTCTGCTTGTCCCCAGCTCCTCACTTGATGCCACTTACTCAAGGCTACTTGAATCAACACGGAGCAAATGAACAACCAGACTCCTACCTCAAAGGCAGCCTTTGGAAAAGGCAACAGTTGCATTTGGGGACGAAACGCCAACCCCTCTGGGGCCAGGACACCTGAGTGTGGTGGTAGTTCTGGCATTCACTTGCAATGTGACATTAGGCAACTCACTGTGCTTCTCTGAGCCCTGGGGTGCTTGCTTGTGAAACACAAGGCAGATGGAGCAGAGCCAGGGCAAGTTTGGAAAGATGCACAAGTGTTTGTGTTTGTGTTTGTGTTTGTGTATGCAGCAGCTGTGTGGGGGCCCGTAGCTTTCATCACATCCTCTCCGAGAGCTTTGGTCACCTCTGGTTCAGAGCCATGAACTTCAGCTCTGGGACACTAGAATCCTGGCAAACTAGAAGAAGAAAAGGAGGTGACCCATCCCACAGGAGTGAGAGCTGTCAGCGCTGTAGGATCTTACAATAGGGGTGACTGCGGGCCTGCTAAACTTCGAGGCTTCGAGAAGCAGAGGCCAGACAGGCAGCCCCAAAGGGTGGTTTTAGGAGGGAGGAGGAGGAATCATCCTGAAGTATCTTCCCTCTACTCCTGCCACCATCAGACAAGCACCCACTTGTTTTGGATACGGCACAGAGTGAGGAGGCGAGGCTGGCACATAGAGATGCCCGCCAGGCCCTTTGGCGCCCAGGTCAGAGAAGCTTGGCGGGAACACTCAGGAGGGATGCCAATCCCCACCCTCCTTCCTCCTCAGGCCCTCACAGGAGCCTCAGGTGGGCACAGCATACACAAACCATGAGGACCAAAGAAACCAGTTGAGGGCCATGAGATGGCTCAGCTGGTAAAGGCACCCACTGCCAAGCCTGATGCCATGAGTTTGATCCTGGGGACATGTTGGAAGGAGAGAAGTGACTCCCAGAGGTTGTCCTCTGACTTCCACACACGTACCATGGTACATGCACATAACACACATACACGCACAAATTGAAATACTTTTAAGAATTAATAACAACAACAACAACAACAAAAGCCAGCTGAGAGGTAGAGGATCCAAGCTCAGATAGTGCAAAACTGGAGGAGACAGTGCCCTCTAACAGGGAGGAGGAGCAGGTCTCAGATTCAGGCCTGCCAGTGTAGTGACTGCTACAGAGACAGAGTGGGTAGGGGTGGGTAGAGGGGGCTCCTCAGCAGAGTGAGAAAGGCAACATGCATAGGAGACAGGAGACCACAGTGGGCAAAAGAGGCGGCCTGAGCCAGAGAACAGCAAGATTTTGAGAAGAGAGTCAGGGACATGAGCCCAGCCGGCCTCGGGGCAAGAAGTTGGCCCATGCAGGAATGGCGGCTGGCACGTGTCTGTGGCAGTGGGAGGGCCCTGGCTGCAGGCCCAGATGCCTGTAGCTTCTGAGCTGGGTTCCTGGGAGGGTGAGAGCCCAACAGATGTTTATCCAGAACAAGAACGTGAGTCTCACACCTCCTCCAGCAAGAGCCCCAGTGATAGGCAGAGGCTGCTGTTTCTTGGGTTGCATAGTCTCCTGAGAGTTGCCTGTGAATGGGGTCCTGGGTAACCAAGAGAGCTGCCAGCCCAGCAGCCCCTGCTTGAGCCAGGACCTGGGCACATGGCTGAGATGGAGCTTTATTCGTGCAGATAAGGAGGGAATGACTCACAGCAAGCTCTCCCAGGAGGCTGCTGAAAAACCAGCTCATCCAAATGCAGACAGACACTTGTCCCTGAATACAGACATCCCTGTCCCTGTCGCTGTCACACAGGGCACATACAAATCCCACTCCCTCCTCTCCCCCTGAGTCACCCATCTCCAGTGCCCCTGGTTCCTCTCCCAGATCTCAGCCCCAATTATTTATCCCTGCCCACCCTCACATGACCCATGGGCATCCCCCACCATGTCAAGGCTGGCTGCAGGGAGAGTGGGAGGGAGTAAGAGTTCCGAGCCCATAGACAGAAAGAGCAGAGAAGGGCTGGGGAACATGTCTGAAGAGCAGCAGAATAAAACGAGGAAGCGGATGGTCTCAGCCTAGAGAGCTCTGCTCTCCAAGCTGGAGGTAGGAGCAACAGGGTGCCCTCGTGTCTGAGATGCCTCCCAGGGCTCTCTACTCCAATCCCTAAACCCCAGGGAGCAGCTCAGACTCACCCTCTAAGGGAAAACCAAGATTTGAGCTAGGAAGAGCCACTGTCTCCTCACCAGCCACGGACATCTTGCAAGGCAGAGGAGTGGGAGGCTCTGAAGCAGGGGTAGGGTTGAGGGAGGATATCCCAATCTCTATCATGTCACCCCAGTTCTGCGCGATCACCAATCATGTAGGATACCCAAGTCATACTCCCAGGCTCCCTGAGGCCCCCCCCTCCCCAACACACACACACACACACACACACACACACACACACACACACAC